ACACCTGCTCTCCGTCCACGAGTCAGGGGACGATGGGGTTGTGACGGTGCTCGTCTCTGTCGACGTCGATGAATGCTCCGTCCTCGTGCATCCTCGAAAAGTAGAAACAATTTCCTATTACTATTGAACCACTCATAATAATCATCTGCAACCATCAAGTAGTCAACATAAATATGTTCCCTATGGGGAAGGCACCGATATATCGATCCTCCCATATAATAACCTACTCATAATGCTTCACCAGCCAATATGTATCCGTCTTGCCGCGTCGATCTGTGTTATGCAATTGGTCCATATTGCGAGGTACTTCCAGAATTGGTTGTATAAAACCAAATTACCGGAACACGCGATCAGTGGGGTGCCACTCGATAATCGCATAACAGATCCAGAATTGGTCCAAACATTTAATGGGCCCCTCAACTCAGGTGAGATGCACATCCTCATATCATCATTAGAATATGGAGTTCATTCAAACTAAAACAAATATATGTAATTCTTATCAAAATAATAATCTAATTATTATACTATGATACAAAATCGATTTTCAAACATTAAAATACATACCTCTGTGCCAGCCTTCTGATCGATTAGTAGCTTGATTATTTCTAATTTATTAGGTAGATCCCGATGATTTTTTCTATCAATGAACCACCTATCCAAGGAAATTTTTAATTATACACTGGATAAAATGATTAACATACGAAATCAGTTTTGTAATTATCTCAATAGCAGCGGGAATACGAACGGGTTCTTCACAACAGGACATAAAAAGGGCAAGTGATACCATGCCCAAGACTGTAGCAGAAGGAGACATCCGCCTATAGCATTTTTACTGTAGTCAGTCGCTCGACACATCTCCCTATACAGGAAAGCCAAAACTGCCGAGCCCCAACTAAGTGATCTAGTCATATGAAAATCGTCAAGATGCTACAACCACATACAGTGAACTTGGTTGCGTGATTTATCCTGCATCAACAACCCTCCTATCAGCTGCAGTATACATGTCCGTGCATACTTTTTAACTTCATCCTCTGAGGCATCCTCACTCAAATTCTGAAAATTTGCATCTAACCAATTTAACGGTATCTGACCACCGTTAAAATTTCGCGGGACACCTCCTAGATACTCATGGCACAAAGTATTCTAGTTACCATGTGCCATCCTTGAAATCAAATCTCCATCCACTGGAAGCCCCAAGTACATGAAAGCATCCTCAAGAGTAATCGTGCACTCTTTGCACGGAAGATGGAATGTGTAAGTCTCCGACCTTCACCACTCCACTAATGCAGAAATCAGGTTTGGTTATATCCTACAATGGCCTTCATATCTAGCTATGTGACCGAATCCAGCCTCGACTAAATACGGCCAGACACGGTCGGGTATCACTAACTTAAGGTTCTGGATAAAAGGATTTAATATACGGTCGCTCTCCTAAAAATATTAATAATTATTGTAAATTAATTTATAAACTAATAATCATGCATTAAATAAATAAATTATTATTAATAATTTGAATTAAATTAAACTATAAAAATGTTACCATATCAGCATAATGACGCGACATATGATTTACATCCAAACGAAGCAGACTGCCTTCCAATTAATAACTGCACAAAAATTATTAAATAAAATATTAAAAATTTAAATAATTAAATAAAATACAAAAAAATATTAAATATAATAAAATATACCTTAAAGAGCTATGAGAGAATATAAGAGTATTTGAGAGAAGTTGAGAGGATTTGGTGCGATGAAAATGATTGAGAATGAATGTATTTATAGAGAGGGAACGAGGGTGTGAACGGACGGGTGGTTGCGAAATTAAAGAAAATGTGCGACCCATGCACCGCGCTATACCCCTACGTGGCAGAAGACACGACCCATGCACCGTGCCTTACCTAGCGTGTCGCCATGTCAGCGTAAGGCGCGGTGTATGGGTTGCGCCTTCCTGCAAAGAGTGTTAGATCGATAAATAAAGATGAAAGGGTATCTGACAAGTAAATAAAATTGATCAGGGTGATTTTTTTTGTAAAAATCGCCTAAGAAATTGCTCATTTTCTTCCTAATGGTCTACGCTCTGTACAGTGAAGTGGAAGACTCTCTCTCTCTCCGTTTAACCGTGGAGAAGCCAATGCTAAATAGTGTCTAGCCAATGCTAAATAGTGTCTAGCCAATGAAAATCGGCGATTTGACCAAATTGACACCCTTTAACCGAATATCTCCCTTTTTAGCACCGTTTGACCTATATTTCCCGAAGTGGCACCATTTCGGTTGAGGTGGCAAAAAACGCATCCCCGGGGATGCGCTTTACCTGGTTTTACGCTGAGTTGGATGCCATATGTGAAAGGCGCATCCTCGGGGACGCGCCTTCACAGGGTTTTGCTGATTCAGTTGCCATAGTGGTTTTTTTTTTAATAATAAAAATTTTATTTTTATTATTATTATAAATTAGTAATATATTATGTAAATTGTTTTAGTTATAATTTAATAATTATCAAATGTATTTTTTTAATGTGTGTTAAAGGTGGTGTGTATTATCCATATTAATCAGATAGAACAACAGATGAAAACTAGTTTTTATTTTATTGTAGTTATATGAAAAATGTATAAAATTATTATATTACATGTATGATTATATTATAATTTTTTATTTTAATTATCGATCTATTAATTTTATCACTTAATTATTTAAATATTATCAATCTAGTCATCTGTTATTATTATTTAACCAAAATATTTCCTCTAACCCAGTACGTATACTTCTATGGTTCTTTCTTTTCATCGACCACCTATGAAATATAATATAAACTAAATATCACCCTATTTAATTAAAAATATTTAAATCAAAATTTAGTTCGATAATGACCTCAACAATAAGGGGAATACATATGGTTCATTCACGATCGGGCATAAGAAAGGCATGCGGAACCACGCCCATGATTGCAGAAGCAGGAGACATCCACCGATAGTAGTTTTCTTATAATTCGTCGCCCGACACATTTCTCTAAAGAGAAATGCCAAAACTGCAGCGCCCCAACTATATCTTCCAGCTTCATCAAAATCGATCAGATGCCGCAACCACATACAATGCACCTGGTTGCGAGATTTGTCGGACATCAATATTCCTCTAATTATTCGTAGAATATATGCCCGAGCACATGCCTTTGCTTGATCCTCTGAAGCATTTTCATTTAAAACCTCAAAATTAACTTTCAACTAAGATAAAACTATTCTACCTCCATTAAACTCCAGCGGAGCAGCTCCAAGATAATCAATGAACATTGACTGCTAATCACCATCCGCCATACCACACATCATATTTCCGTCGACGGGAAGCCCAGATGCATAGAGACATCCTCCAATGTAATTGTAGTCTCTCCACATGGAAGGTGAAAAGTATGTGTCTCGGGCCTCTCAATCAATGCAGAAACTATGACATGTTCGAGTTTGCAACCGCCAATAATTGTTGCAATATATCCGAACCCGGCAGAAGCCAAATATGGCAAAATACATTCCGGTGTCGGTATACGTAGATTTTTAATAAATGTCTCTAAAATATGATCAATATCCTAAATAATATGCATTATAAAAAATTAAAATTAATATAAATTCATAATAAATTTAAATTAAACATAACAATAAATATTAACATTAATTATAAAAAAATATTACCATATCGTTAAAATGTCTGGAGATATGGTTAGCATCCAATCGCAGAAACTTTTCACTTTCCATTATAACTGTAGACAAAAAAAATAATTAGCACAAAAATAATTAATTAATAAATTTAAATAAATAATAATTATATAAATATTATTTTAATAAAAATAATATTTATATAATTATATTAATATAAAATATAATAACTGAAAAATAAATTTCTTACCACTAATAAAAAATTTAAAACTTAAAGATTTGGAGAATTTAAGTTATATAAGAGAGGAGAAGATGATTTTGGTGTGAAGAATGAGGGGAGTTGAAGGGATTTATATAGGAGAGGAGGAGGGGTAGTTGGGGAAAAATATGATGAGCATTTAAGACATTTAATGAAGGCGTGTCTCCGGGGATTCGCCTTTCACACGTGGCATCCAACTCAGCGTAAAACCATATAAAACGCATCCCCAGAGATGCGCCTTTCGCGACCTCAATCGAAAATGTGTTACTTCGAGAAATATAGATCAAACAGTACTAAAAATAAAAATATTCGCTTAAAATATGTCAATTTGATCAATTGGCCATGAAAATCCTTTTACATAATATAAAGACCAAAATTATAAAACTTATATAAGTTGAAATAATTATATAAAAAAATCTCGAAAGCAAACAAAAGTAAAAACCCATAGAAAAAGCAATACTGTCTCTCTGCGTGTATTTTTTTTGGGTTTGTGAAATTCTCACGGTGAAAAGTAAAGCTCTGGTTTCTGGTGATTGAATCCTCAGAAGGATAAGAAACAATGTTTCAGAAGTTAGGGACGATTTGGGCCTTTTTCGAAATGGAGATCGGCCAAACTATGTGGTTGAAGAGGGTTCTTTGGTGTTGAAGGAGGCGTCTTTGGTGACTCAGAATCTGGCCGAGTGGAACTGGTAACTCAGTCCAAGCAGAAAGTTTTTTTTTAATCTTTTAAGTTGTTTGGAGGGTGAAAAAAATGGTTGGTTGAATCAGATCAGCATTTGTATGTAATAGGAAGCTCTGATCTCGAAAGATATTACGGGATTTTGTTTTCTTGGTGTTTGGGGCTGTCGTCAAAGAGTGCCAAAAAAAGCAAGGTCCAAGGTTTTCTCTGTATCCAATCAGGGTATCCCTTTCCTTTGCCTGGGTTTTTATCCTTCTCTTTCCTTAACATTTCACGAGCTAGCGTTAAAGAATCTAAAGCTGTACTAATGATGAAAACCTAGTAGAATCCCTTCCCCCAAGAAAAGAGAAGCATTTGTGTCCTCTTCATGTTCAAGCTCTGAAGTAACTCAAAGAAGAGAGAGAGAAAGAGAGACAAACAAAAAGAAAGCCCTTCATTTTTCCTTGGTGGGTTTATGTGAAATTTGCAAACTTTGGTTCTTTTTAGTACTTTTGTCTAGTTTTCTTTAAGTTTGAGGGTGAAGCTTGAAGATGTCAATGTCCTGCAAGGATGGTAAACCTGGGTGCCTGGATAATGGGAAATATGTAAGGTACACACCTGATCAGGTTGAGGCCCTTGAAAGGCTTTATCATGATTGCCCCAAACCTAGTTCCATTCGTCGTCAGCAGTTGATTAGGGAGTGCCCTATCCTCTCCGATATCGAGCCTAAACAGATCAAAGTCTGGTTCCAAAACAGAAGGTTTACTTTTTTTTTAAGTCTCTGTTTACTGCAATTTATTTGCCACAATGTAATTATATATGTCATTTGATTTGTCAGATGTAGAGAGAAGCAGAGGAAAGAGGCATCACGCCTTCAAGCTGTAAATAGGAAGCTGTCGGCAATGAACAAGCTTTTAATGGAGGAGAATGATAGGCTGCAGAAGCAAGTGTCACAGCTGGTGTTTGAAAATGGCTACTTTCGCCAACATACTCGGGATGTAAGGATTTTATGTTTTAGTTTCTGGGTTTAGTTTTTCCTTGTGTTCTTTCAATTTACTAGGAGATTTTTGCAATCTTTTGTTTTTTGGGGGTTTTTCTCTCACAGGCGACACTTGCGAGCAAAGATCCGAGCTGTGAATCCGTGGTGACGAGCGGTCAACACCACCACGTGACACCACAGCATCCTCCGAGAGATGCTAGTCCTGCAGGGTTAGTGGGGTTATGGTTGTTATGTCCTTTTCATTTTCATCGTGCTTTGTGACCTCTTTGTTGTGTGCATTTGTGGTTTTATTAAATTGATTGATGCCTTTTATCCCTTGTCTTTTCAGGCTTTTGTCCATTGCAGAAGAGACTTTAGCAGAGTTTCTTTCAAAGGCCACTGGAACTGCTGTTGAGTGGGTCCAAATGCCTGGAATGAAGGTATCTCTCCACTCTTTGTTGTTAAAAATTACTAATCCAAGGGAAGAATTATAACCGTAAATTGTTTTCATTAAGCAGCAACTTTTGACATTTAAACCCTTGTCATCATCTCTTTGTTTTGACTTGAACAGCCTGGTCCGGATTCCATAGGAATCGTTACTATTTCTCATGGTTGCACTGGAGTGGCAGCACGAGTTTGCGGTCTCGTGGGTCTTGAACCTACAAGGGTAAGTCTACTTTGTCTTTGTAGCCTGCCACGGCTTCATTGTTTCGGCTGTTTGTATTCCAATGACTATGTCCCTTTCAGGTCGCCGAACTCCTCAAGGATAGGCCTTCGTGGTTTCGCGATTGCCGAGCTGTGGATGTTCTAAATGTGCTGCCTACTGCCAACGGTGGAACCATCGAACTGCTGTACATGCAGGTCTGTGCTCTTTAATGTGTTGTAGTTGCCTGACTTTTTCGGAGAAATTATTTCTTAGTGATCTCTTTGAATTTGCTAATGTTATGTATAGTTGTATGCACCAACAACTTTGGCACCTGCACGCGACTTCTGGTTGTTGCGCTATACTTCTGCTCTAGAAGATGGAAGTCTTGTGGTCAGTTTAATAAATATTTGTTTTTTGGTACATCATAGGACCGAATATACTCTAGCTACATTATTTTTTGGGAATTAGACCTCCAAAGATGCATATGCACTTCTCTTTTAATCTCATGAGTTCTTAGTGACTTTTGTAATGCTTAGGTCTGTGAGAGGTCGCTTAAAAATACTCAAAATGGTCCTACCATGCCAACGGTGCAATATTTTGTGAGAGCTGAAATATTCCCGAGTGGTTATCTTATACGATCTTGTGAGGGGGGTGGTTCAGTCATACACATTGTTGATCATATGGATTTGGAGGTATACATGTTGTTGCATGCAAACTGTCTTGAATGTTTTTAAACTACGTAACATGTATACTTATTATGGAGTGTTTATTATCAATCAGTCGAGGAGTGTGCCAGAGGTGTTACGCCCTCTTTATGAATCATCAACAATTCTCGCTCAAAAGACAACAATGGCTGTAAGATTTTTCTTCCATTAGCATGTTAGTATGTTACACGGCACTGTCTAATTGTTTTTAATATTATAAAGGAAGGCTTTCCTACAAAAAGTTCCTAGAATTGTAGGTTACAAAAGGATGGGATCTAATTTGTGATTTTCTTTTAGGCTCTAAGGCAACTGAGGCAGATAGCTCAGGAAGCTTCTCAGTCTAATTCAACTGGTTGGGGTCGTCGACCAGCAGCCTTACGTGCAATTAGCCAAAGGTTAAGCAGGTTAGCTTCCAAGCACTTGTTGTCATGTGCTTTATGTCTGCTAAGATTGATATACTATTATTTACAATTTGGCGGATGATTCCTTACAGGAGTTTTAATGAGGCTGTCAATGGTTTCACTGATGAGGGGTGGTCAATGATGGGAAATGATGGCATAGATGATATTACTGTCCTAGTAAATTCATCTCCTGACAAGCTGATGAGCCTCAACCTTTCCTACGCTAATGGATTTTCATCTGTTAGCAATGCAATCTTATGTGCCAAGGCATCGATGCTTTTACAGGTCGGACTGGGATGCTTCCAATTTTTCAGTCTTGATGGTTCATGGCAGCTATTTATGGAAGTACATGACATGGTTTCAGAATTGTTTGTAGCTTAGGATTTCTTATGTTTTATTGTTGCTATGATAACATTATACTTACCGTTACATGATGTTATTTCAAATGTTAAATCTTGGCTATTCTTGTGTTTGGCTAGCTCCACTGCGCTGGATTTCTTCAGCATGATATTTTCTGAATGATATTATTTAACACTTCCATGGTTGCACATCATTCTTTCACATGAACAGTCTTTACGTGGTCCATGAATTTTTTTCCTTCATTGTTTCTCTTTTAGAACGTACCACCTGCAATTCTTCTCTGTTTTCTGCGGGAACACAGATCAGAATGGGCAGACACCAGCATTGATGCCTACTCAGCAGCAGCTATTAAAGTTGGTCCCTGTAGTTTACCAGGGTCTCAAGTAGGAGGTTTCGGAGGTCAAGTCATACTTCCACTGGCACATACTATTGAGCATGAAGAGGTAAGTACTATGTTTTATAGCCCTTAATTGAATTATGTGATGTTATGATATTATTTGTATCAACTTAATTTATTCATAAACATACGGAAAATATTGTTTTTTTATGTTATTTTTAGTGCTTAGAGGTAATTAAGTTGGAGGGAATTGCACATTGTCCTGAAGATGGAATAATGCCAAGAGATGTTTTTCTTTTGCAAGTAAGCGTTCTTATTTTTACTTTATTCTCGAATCTCTTATAGTCATTATGGAGTGCGACAAACCTTTCATAGCACCTATTGGTTTTAGGATTGTCTTAATTTTCTGTGATATTGTTTTATAGCTATGCAGTGGAATGGATGAAAATGCGGTGGGAACCTGTGCTGAGCTTATGTTTGCTCCCACCGATGCTTCTTTTGCTGATGATGCACCTCTTTTGCCTTCTGGTTTTCGCATTATTCCTCTCGATTCCGGGAAGGTTGGCATTTATGTGTTAATGCAAGGTATTTTGTTAGTTTTCTTCTGTATTTTTGTGTGGATTTTCTTATTTTGCAATGGAAGCTGATGCAGGAAGCCTCCAGTCCAAATCGCACTCTGGACCTTGCGTCGGCTCTTGAGATTGGGCCAACTGGAAATAAAGTGTCTAATGAATACTCTGGTAGTTCTGGCTGTGTGAGATCTGTGATGACCATAGCATTTCAGTTTGCATTTGAGAGCCACATGCAAGAACACTTGGTATCCATGGCCCGACAATATCTCCGCAGCATTATATCTTCAGTTCAGAGGATGGCAATAGCTCTTTCTCCATCTAATTTGGGTTCACATGCTGGTCTCCGAACACCACTGGGCACTCCTGAAGCACAGACACTTGCTCATTGGATCTGCCAGAGTTATAGGTACACACCGGCCCTGCCTTCCTTTCGATTTAACATAATCTAAATACCAGAAACTGTAGGTCTTCTATGCTTGTATGCTTTGTACTGATAGATTCGAGAATCTGACTTGTTGAGTTGGTGTCTGCTCTTGCATTGTTGTATCCTTTACCATGTGTGCAGAATATGTTGCCTAGCTCAGATATTTGTTCTACGTACAGATGTTATGTTATGAACCGCAGAATGATTTTTCTCTAATTTTGCAGGGTCTACATGGGTGACGAGCTGCTGAAATCTAGCAGTGAAAGGAGTGATTCCATCCTCAAGACCTTGTGGCAGCACTCCGATGCTATCATGTGCTGCTCGCTGAAGGTCAGCGTTGGGACTGAATTCACTTGTCTTCCTCATTTTGCGCTGATATATTCCTAATCATTTTGTAAAATGCTAATGCCTTTGATTAACTGATGGTTCTTGCAGGCACTGCCTGTTTTCACCTTTGCGAATCAGGCGGGGCTTGACATGCTGGAGACGACCCTGGTTGCTCTGCAGGAGATTACTTTGGAGAAAATATTTGATGACCATGGACGTAAAGTTCTCTGCACGGAGTTCCCACAGATAATGCAACAGGTCTACCATTTTATTCCGGTTTCAAACTACGGGAAAAAAAAAACATTTTTCAAATACAAATAACCAATGATTGTACATAAAGGGGAATGATTTTTTGTTTGTGTTAGGGGTTTACTTGTCTACAAGGTGGGATATGCATGTCGAGCATGGGAAGGCCGATTTCATACGAGAGAGCAGTGGCATGGAAGGTGTTGAATGAGGAAGAGAATGCTCAGTGCATCTGCTTTATGTTCATCAACTGGTCTTTTGTCTGAAAACTTAAATATAGACCAGAAACTGCTGAAGTATCATCATTTTATTTTGTATTTTTAATATTTTGTTCAACTTTAGCTGGCTAAAACCCCATGGTATCACTCTTCACTGGAACCAGTTTGACAATGCGTGTATCGACTGTATTCACAGTTTGATGTATTACTTGAATCTTCTGGTTGGATGTATCCTTCGTCTCCCTTACAATTGTAGGTATACAACTGGAGCTCCTACCAATCCCACCTTTGTTTCGAGCTCCTCTATTATTCCTATGGCTAAAAGTTTTACTGGTCTCGAACCTTTACTCAGTATCGACCTCATTGCATCAGCTGTGAGCAAGGCCGGGTAAGCCGTCCAGAAATTATTGAACTTGATACCTGTCGGAACCGTCTTTCGGTTGGGTCCGGAATTGAGTTTCGATTTGAATAAGTTGGTTAGAGTTACTACCGATCATTTATTTTATTAAATAGGTTGATCGGATATTTTATATTTTACCTGATCTGCGTCTTACCAAAAATGTGTCGGATTTGGGAGTCGATTACACTCAAGAAAGGGTTAGCATCCTTGAACTGTTCTTTCGGTACTATTAAATTTTTAGTTGTCATTAAGTAAGAAATTTGTAAGTTTAAATTAAAAGGTAAAATAACGATTGGAATTGCTTACCTTAGATAGTTTTAAAAGTATACCCTTACAAAAGTTAAAGGACGAATTAGGAAAAAAATGACAATAAATAAAACAAAGAAGGATGAATAAGAAAAGGAATTTAACATGAAGATAAAAAGATAAAGAAAATAAAAAGAAATAAAAAAATACAAATAAAAATGAAATAAAAATGAAAACATAAAATAATAATTAAAGTAGTAATAATCAATATACAATCGATAAGGTAAATAAATAAATAAATAAATAAAATGAACAAAAAAATATGGAATAAAAAGAAATAAAAAAAAGTACCAAGTGAAAGAAAAAAACTTACATATATATATATATATAATATAATAAAAAAATCGAATAAGAAATAATTAAAAAATATACATAGTAATAAACAAATTATTAATAGTATATATTTACATAATAATAAAATATAGTAGAGATATGAAATATATATACAAATATATAAAAAACAGTAATAAAAACGAAAAAAATAAAATAAAAAACATAATTAATTATAGATAATAATAAATATGCTATTAAAATAAAAATAAAAAATGTAAAAGGATTAAATTGAATGAAAAACAAAAGTTGAGTTCGATTTTAGGAGAAATCAGGGATGATAAAAGAAGAATTAAAGAAAAGGGGACCCAAAACAAAATTAACCCATTTTTGTTTAAAAACACGTGGGTCAGAGGATGAAGCGAGTCGGATCACGGTCAAAATGGGTCAACTATATAAGTTAATTTTTTTCTCTTAATTTTCCATTTCCCATTTGCAAAACTAGAGAACCTCTCCCCCTGTTCCTCGATCTCTCTCGCGTGTTCTTCAGTATGAAGAACACGACGCTGGTCATCGAAGGCAAAATAAAAATTTTCCTGCACCATTCGAAATCTCTTTCTATCCCCACTTCGAAAATCAAAACATTTTTCAAAGATTATTGACCTCGGGGACTAGATCTACAAATGAAGATCTCGAGAACGCCCATCTGTTCATCGGTCTAAAGCTCATTTTTTGGGGTTTGAAACAAAGAAAAATAGAACGCATGCAACAAAAGCCGACCGAAACGAAGGTAAAAAAACTGAAATATATACCTCTTTTATTTCTTTTTCGAAATGCTATACAAGTGTTTGGACTCTCCTTGTATTTGCTATTGTGAGCTTATGTGCGTGTTTGCCTCGTGGTGATCTCTCTGATATTGTCCTACAAATGGTCTTGCTTACATGTATTTATACTCTAAAAAATAGCCTATTTTTAGCTTGATTTCCGAGTCCTAATCGAACTAAACTAATGGCTTGTTTGCTATTTTTTCGGTGTCCCAAACATCCACGTTGCTACGGTTGTTGCATGAGGGATAGAGTGCCTTGAAACTCGGTGTTGAATATGTGAAAGGAGAGCTGGAGCGGCATGATACCCCTAGAGTCTTGGTGATGCGGCGCAGGTGAGAAGGCTTGAAGCTATGGTTTCTAATGAGATGAAACCCTAAATAGGGTATATTGTGGACCATTGGATCTCATATAGATCCAACGACCATTGTTGTTGGCGGCAGAGGCGAGAGATGGACGAGCTAGGGTTTCTGAAAACACTAACCTATTATGGGTCACGTGCTTGTTGGGTCTGGACCATTGGGCGTTGTTGGCCTAGAGTGTAACGGGCTGTTGGGTATCATTTTATTTGGGCCTCTGTTGGGTCCTGTAAATGTAAAATAAAACCTGAATTAATGAAAATATATATTTATATAATATAGTTTATAATAACAAAAAACAATATTATATAATATAATATTAACGTTCAAAATTCAGTGTCTTCAGCTGCCCCTCTTTGCTCATTATCGTGTAACGAAAATAGAGCAAAAATTAAAAGACACAAATTTCGTCCTTATCGAATTCCCTCCGTCTTAGAGTTGATGTAACATCCTTAATACCGGGTTAGTGATCAAATTGTAAAGTTTCAGAATTTGGTGACTAGAGTAGAACCATGGATTAGTTCAATGATTTATTTGAAAATAAATCATAAAAGTTTTTAGTAATTATACGATGAATTGAAGGGCAAAAGGGTCATTTGACAAGGAAGATTTTATTTTCCTTATAAGATAAGGAAATCACGTGGGAAGAGAGAAAGGTTCCAGAGTTCTCTTCTCTTCTCTTCTTTCTTCATACGTGAAGGCTTGACTCAAAGGTGAGTTTCTTTGTTGATTAATTATTGATTTTAAGGTTGGGTTATGATCATTAGATGATAATTAAGCTTAAGGAAAACTTAATTTGTTCTAAAACAACAAGATGAAAGATATAGAAGAGATTAAAGAAAATGAGTTAATAAGTGAAATTTGAGAAGGAATTTGACTTGTCATCACTAAGAATAAGAGATATATGAAGTTAGAAATGATTAATAACAAAGTTGAAAGTTTAGTAAGATTCTTAAATCTTAAGAATCATGATGAGATATGGAAGATAAAGATGGTTTACATGGATATAAGTTGGCTTAAGTAATGGTAGTTGAATTTAATGACATAATAGGGGCTTAAAATAGAAGAATTGAGTGAAGAATTGATGATTTTCGAGCTTAAAATGCAAATTCTGGGCAAGGTGTATCGATGCACATTCAATGTGCATCGATGCACTCTTTAAAGAAGAAACATCGATTGCAATTGGTGCATCGATGCATAAGGAGTTTATCGATGCATCCCATTAAAATGAAAACATCGAAGGTAATTTGTGTATCGATGCATGGGTAGTGCATCGATACACATGTTAAAGAATGCATCGATGCACTGTAGAATGCATCGATGCACTTCAAGGGGAAATAGAAATAGACATTTCTTTTGGTCTAAGAAATGATAGATTAGAGTATATCAATTGGATACTAATATGTATCAATGTATGATTATGTAGATATCGAACATGAACAAGTTCCGGAATGATTATCAAGTTAAGATTCGATAACTTAGTGAGGCCAAGGTGAGTGCAGAATATAAGTATAAGGTAATGGAAATAAGACTTGCGATAAGTCTATTTCCGAGATAAATGTCATAGTATAATAGTATGAACATGCATATATTATAGTTTGTATTAAATGTGTGTAAGTTATAGATGTTTACATATGATTCACCACATGTTATATGACTCATATGATGTACTCACATGTTTGTGTGATAGAATATGAGAGGGATGATTATATGCATATGTGTTTATATGTTATAGTGAATGTTACATGATATAGATATGTATATAAATTTATGAACTTATATAACTATGTATATGTGATATGAATGTGGTATATGTGATGTATATGAAGCATATGAGAACAAGAGATGATAATGATTTACATGTCATATGAACACAAGAGAAGTGTTATAAACTAAGTGATATATGATTGTGAAATCATATGAAAGTGACATGAATTACATGAAAGAAAATACATGATTATATGCACATATAATATGTGACAGAAAAGAAGAGAAATGATATGAATAAGTGGTGTGAATATGTGAACTGTTATAAATGATAATGCCCATGTTATGTGATATGAGAGCTAGGGGTATAGTTAGCATGCCAAGAGTCGAGGGTTTACCTATGTCTTTCGAGACATATGGACAGTTTACCTAGGTTCTTCGGGACCTATAGACAGTTGCCGAGGTTCTTTATGACCTATGGATAGTTGTCGGGGTCTTTGTGACCTCTGGATAGGTCCTTCGGGACATTTATACGAGCTGTGGTGACAACATAGTGGTGCACAACCTCAATGTACTCACATACCTTAAGTTCTCAAAAGTATACATGGGCTAATAAAGCAATAATATAAATATATCGTACGTGATGTGTATGAGTGATATGCTATGAAAATTGGATTACAAAGATTATGGGATGCTATGTGTGATTATTGGTGATATGAACTGTATTATATGATTGATATGATGATGTGTATATCATTTGAAGGAGTCATATGTTAATAAAAAGATTAGGTATACGAAGGTATGATTAAAGGATATAAATGATAATAATACGAATTATAGAATAATATTAACGATGGAAATGATGAATAATGGGTATATGTATACAGTTGATTATATGTGAAATTATATTGTTGTGTGTGATAGCATGAGATGATATGTACATGCATGTTTGAGTAGTTAAAGTTACTTATATACGTTAATGCCTCACTAAGTCATAGACTTAGCGTGTGATTGTTTCACATGTAGGTTACAGAAGTGAGAAGAGTAAAGAGCAATGTGGAGCAAGACAGGTCAGTTTCCTTACCAAGGGTCAGATCAAAAGAAAGGTGAATAATATGTATTTTAATATATGAAGTTCTAGTTGACATGTATTCAAAATAATATATTGTATAAGCTCTGAATAGTTCTGTAAATGTTTTGAATAAGTTATATGTATAAAAATTTTAAATTACTCACTATTTTATACAAGTAAATGTTTTGGAAAGTCAATGTGATACCTCGGACTCGGATAC